GTATAAGACGCCGTCGAATCCTTCCGCAAACCTGGCGCGCCACGGTCCGTTTTGAATGCTTCCAAGAACTCCGCATCATTTCACGGAAAGAAAAAAAAAAGCAAACGATTTCCGTCACGCATCCAACCCCAGGTAACAATATCGATAACAGAAATGTGTGGCTGCAAAAGACGCCGCGAGGCCCGTGCCGCCTGGCTTGAACAACGTGCCGCCGGTGGCGGGCGATGCGGAAGAGGCTTCGGCCCAGGTGCAGGTCCGCCGTTCCGTCCTCCGTTCATGGGCGGACCTTTTGGTCGCTGGAGAGACACGCCACGCAACTACCGAGATGGAGACCCTTCGCAGCTACAACCCCTCAACCCTCGGGATGTGACGATCCCGCGAGACGTCGAGAAGGCAGCCTCTCCTCAAGGCCCCCAGCCTTCTCAGCCTCAACAACCTCCGCAACCTCCCCGGAGAGACGTCGGCCGCGTGTCCTTCATGTCAGGCCCTTTCAGTAGATGGCGAGACTCCGTTAGGAGCGACACCAAGTTCGACGTGAGAAGGGAGTCCACCACTACTCTGCCCCCTCGTTACGCCTCTGGTGTCACAGATGTTTCGCGACTCGATAAGGAGAAGCGTGAATCGCTTCCGCCGACGTACGATGCTGCTACGAAGTACTGAGCGAACATGAGGATAACGGAGAAGAAGACTGAGGATGGATCTCTGCCAGGCACTCGAAGTAGACAACAACACATCGGGCCGTGTCGCAGGAGCCCGTGACATAACGAGGTTAAGAATAAAGTTTGCCATTGAAATTTACAGTGTGAAACTGTCCGTCTGTTCTGGGTATTTGGGGTATAAATCTATCCGCTTGTAGCCAAACAAAAAACGACATTGCGCTACCCGATATTACGCTTTTCGTGCCAAATCTTTGTGGTTCTGTATACCCAGATGTGTCAAAAAACACCAATATTAGATGTGTAAAATTTGGGTTTCAGCCATTCAGTCCCATTCTTCGTAGCCGCCAATGCCGTAAGGATTCCATTCTTGTCCCGGATAGCTCGTTGCGCTCATTTGAGGCGCCTCAGGATCATCTTCCTTCCTGTACTTGTTTCCCGAGGACTGCTTCTCTTCGTAGGGGTCAACGAGAATCTTTTCTTCCTGTGCTTCGAGTCGCATCGTTCTCATGCGTTCGTCCTCAGTATCCTCCAACTCGGCTCTTGTGCTTCTGCCTCGGACGACAGCTGTGACGCCGGCACCATTGGAATTGCCATTCCTATGGGTAGCATTGCGTGGTGCCTCGTCTGCCGAACTTTCGCTGACTTGGCTTTGTCCAGTGCTCGTCGCAGTGATGGGTTTTGCAGGTGGAGGAAGCGGACCAGACAGCAGACGAGGAGTTGCGTCGTATATATCGGAATCAGATGTGTCCTGGTTGACCTTCTGGATGTTGACGCTTAGGCGTGTACCTGCGCCTACAGGCTGGTCATCTGCAACTCCCGCGTCTGATATGTTCATCATGTCTATCGAGGCGCCGTGTGAGCGCTTTCTGGCGGGACTGGCTACGTCAACAGCAAGACCTGGCACCGATATCTGTGTCTGCGGCGGGCTGGGAGATGACTGCTCGGCGAATGTATTCAGACGCGATTGGTTTGTATGTGGATTGTCGATACCTGGAGGTTGAAAACCTCCACCATGCGAGGGCTGGATTTGCGGGGAGTCCACTGATTGTCGGACAGCAAAGTCTGCACGAGCGTCTCCATGAGAAGGTTGCTGTACTTGTAACATGGTACTGGGCTTTGTATGATTATTCCCATGGGCGTCGGCCCGGCTAGAATGTGCGTGCAATTGCGGGTGACCTTGTGCATAGACAGAGGGGTTTTGTCCAAGATTTGCCGTATGGTAGGATTGCATGTCCTGGCTGGACTGGTGCACCCTTGGATCTTCTTGTTGTTGAGGTTGGAGTTGCTGGTTGTATTCCGGCACACCATGATGGGTGCTATTTAAGCCAGGTTGTGCTCCGTAGCTTGCATGTGACACTGTGGATTGGTAGGAGGTGGTGCTCACTCGGCGATCAGCTTGATAGGACGCCGTGCATTGACTAGGAGCTTGCGGCTGGTCTTTGGGCGCCAAAGCCTGCGACTGGTTGTACATGGATACTTCGGATGGGTACCTATGTGCAACTGGCGGCTGTGCATAACTTTGCTGTACTGGCTGCATTTGATGATGAGGATACTGAGCGGGGGGTGATGGGCGTCCGATGTCATACGGAGATGGTGCTACATGCCCTTCTCCGTGAACGGCTTCGTATCCACGAGGAATGGGGACTTGGTCGTATTGAGGCTCTTGGTATGGCTGAGGTTGTGGCATGCCTGGAGTCGGACCGAGACTGGCGGGAACAGCCCTAGTCATGATAGGATCGCGTGACGGTCTATGGTATTGTAGGACTCGCCCTGTGCCTTGAGATATCTCAGAGCTTGCGCTAGACATGCTGTGTTGCGGGGGGGCTCTTTGTCCAAAAGATGCCGCTGGCGATGGATGACGTTGTTGCTGGTGAGCAAGCGGCCCTTGCATTGGGTGAGGGTTGCGTTGATTCAGAGGCCCAGGTGGTGGCGTCAATGTCTGCCCAGGTCTCGTTTGAAAAGGCTGTGCGTGCAAGCCCCTGTCAGGCGGTGGCATTTGCTGCGACTGTTGTTGTTGGGGGGGTCGGGCCTCAGGTTGCTTCGACGATCTCTTAAAGGCGCTGAATAGAGACTTTGTCGTGGACCCTTTCAGATGGCCTGGATGAGATGAAAGTTGGGCGGCTTGGGCAGAGGTCCTGTTCTTGAACCACTTCGATACTGAGCTATGTTGACCCTCATCATCCAAGCCTTGTGCAGCGGGCTGCTGGCTCTGGTCAGAGAACAGCGGCAACGAGGAACGCTGGGTCTGGAGCTTGTTTGCTTGAGAAAGTTGCTCCATACTTCCATACCCGAGTCCAGGAGCCTGTTGCTGCATCATATGAGGCACAGACGACGGAGCCTGTTGAGATATTTCATCGTTCTGACCTATGTCTAGAGAACCAGTTTCAACTGTTTGGGCTTGGTGTCGATCAGAAAATGGCGCTTTACGCGTTGTTGATGGTGCAACAGAGACCAACGGCTGCCGTTGGGAGACAGGCAGGGGCGGCGGTGAAGCTGAGATGGACAACCGCTGCAGCGTATCCGGCGCATGCACTACTCCGTTGGATGACGATGCTATCGCGTCTAGTGGGCCTCTCGGCGACGAAGCGGGTTCTAGATTTTGTTGACCAGCATCTAGCCCCTGTATTCCAAGTGCATGAGCTTGAGGGTTAGAGAAGGTTGGATCATGAGAGCTGTCGGCTTGGTCCTGTCCAACATACAATTGCGCAGGTGGCTGCTGCGCAGAGGGATCTGACATGGAGTATGTACCAGGAACTGTCCGAGACTGTGCGGTATCCAGTACGCCCCGATTAGAGGCGTCAGGTTCGGCTCTCCTTCCAGTAATGGTACCAGATGCGTGCCGCTTTTCCACAATGGCAGCATCATGATTCTGGTGTGCATTTAAGACGGGAGATACAATCTGGGAAGGTTGGGGGCCTATTGTAATTGAATGGGCTGACCGGGACAGTGTTGTTTGTTGCTGAGTCTCAAGACTTCGTCCTGGATGAGCCGTCGAGCCCTGGGGAGATGACTGTTGCTGATCTGGGCCAAATTGCTGGTTTACCGTAGGTGACAGACCCATGTAATGGTTTGATCCTGGGTTCGAAGGTTGATGCTGCTGTGCGGGCTGGAGCATCCTCGGCTGCGCAGGAACATGGTCTTTTTGATGAGAAATAGCTTGAACTGGTTGTTGGGCTTCTTGGTTTCTCGATGACCGATGACCAAATATACCAGAAAGGAGATTTCCGGCCGAACTTCTTCTCCCGCGATCCTCTTCACCAACAGTCTGCAAGTGCGTACTTTGAAGTAAACCAAAGGGCCCGGATCCTGTCGTATTGCTGCGCTCTCTCCCAGCGGCGACGTGCGATGAAGACACATCAAGTTGAGTAGCAGGTGCTCCGGAGTGATGACTTTGAAAAGACGATGCCAGTGAATGGGAGGTCCCCGGCTTCTGAGGTGGCTGAAGCTCCTGTTGGCTGGAGCGGTTGAACACCTTGCCTGCGAAACCAGAGAAACGTTTCTTCGGAGGTGCTTTGTGACCGCCAGCTTGATCATTGCCAGCGGTCGAAGTCGATGAACGCGACAATGTTGGTAGCGCGGCAGATGAATCGTTAGCAGCTGAACCAAGCCAAGAACGCTTTCGCTCTGCAGGCGCAACCGGTGGCTGGAATTGGGCAGAGGCAGGGATAGGACTGGCTTTTGGGGACGGCGTGACCACTTCGCCCTCCTGTCCTTGTTGAGATCCAGTGTCCGACGGTTTAGAGCCTCTTAAATTGAGGAACAGGCTGGACCGCCGCTTCTGCCGCCCGCTTTGGGTTTCCCCAGCAGCCATATTCGGCACAGGATCTCTAGTCCTTTCTGTATCATCAGCAGGGTGATCGACATGGTCTACCTCGTCTTCCTTGAAACTCTGCCTTTCTCTTGAAGAGGGCCGTGAGAAGCGTTCACCAATTTCTTTGAAGAAACCTGAGCTCCGTCTTTTCCTGCCCCGCTCATCGTCTCCTGATGGCTCCACACTACTTACTTCAGAGTCTGCCGTATGGGTTCTCTGTATCGAAGAACTATCCCGGGGGAAGAACTGGTGTCCTAAATCGTAAGAGCTACGGGGCCCAACCGGGGACACTAGGTTGGGTTGGCCTTGAGGCGGAGGTGTAAATAGACCTGGATATCGCTGTGCCGATGACGGAGGCACCTCAGAGAACTTTTGTCGAGGTGGTAGTTGCGTTTCTTGCCGCGGGACTGCTGGTGAGGGCACCCCAGTCTCTTTATCGAATCCATAAAACGGCTGGTGTGAGGAGGCTGGACTACCAGACAGACGATTACGACTCGCAGGCAAAAGAGGCTCCGACAGGTGAGATTCTTCTAATTTCCAGGGACCTTGCGGCGGTAAGTGTTGAATGGGGTTGCCCCCTATAGTCGGAGATACCACGCCCTGTTGTGAGCGCATGCCGAGTGGTGGGCCACCGCCAGTTCGTCCTGCTTGTTGCATTGCAAGCTTTGTATCGATAGGTTGAGGAGTAGAACCGCCAGGTCTGAAGGAATGCCGGGGATCTAAAGCCCTCTTCTCATCATCGCCCCATGCAACCCCAGTGCTCTCTGTGGCGAGTGTTGCCGCCTGGGTAGATGTGGCTGAGATGACTTGGTGGGACATGGCACTATCTTTGCGCGATGCTGAAAGCCCGGTCTCGATTCGGGCAGGTTGTGCGAACCGAGTAGACGCATCCCGACCTACATGTTGATGAAGTGATGCAGCGTTGGCATCGATCACGTCCTGGCTTGTGGTAACCGTGGAAACCGGAGAAGACACGATAACCTGACCGTCAACATCGTCGTCCTCTTCAAGAGAGAAACGTTTCTTTGCTCTTTTGGTGAGATTGATACCGAATGTAGAACTCCGCCTGATGGGTGGAAGGCCGACGAAGGAAGATTGGCGCTGAGGTGATACCGACTGTTGTTGCGACGGAAGCTGCTGACGAGTCTGGAGTTGGTTCTGTTGCTGAGTCTTTTGATCCAGCTCCTGCTGGAGTACTTGATGTTGAGTGTTGCGATGCAAATGGTCTTGGTCCTGCTGTGACGCCTGTTGCGCATCTGAAGATGCAGTATCGCCAGCAGCAATATCCGATTCATCTTCGTTGTCAAAGATCTCTCTACTAGACTCCGTGGGTTGGAATGAACGCACCAATTGTGGCGACTCGGGGGACAAAACATAAACTTGCTCAGATGGAGCTGACTGCGGCGATACGACGACCCGGTCATCGTCACTTCTGGCGTTCTTCGTTGTCGAAGCGTTGTGGAATTGCGCAGCGGGGGCAGCATGAGGCGCATGCTGAACATGGGGACTCGGATCCCTGGATTGCCCCATTTCAAAGCCTTCCTCTTCAACCAAGGGTGTGCCTGTAAAGGGATCCCACGACGGTTGGGTCTTGCCAATAGGTCTTGGAACCTGAAGATCGCCGGTGCCGTTAACGAAGGCATCTCCATCGTCGGCGTTGTCGTGATGGTTAGGGGCCGACATGGACTGGGTGTCCGAGACGGGCGAGACGGGCTCGGACTCGCTATCCCGGCGAACACCGGCGGGATGCTTAGGGGTCTGAGGCCGGGGTGGGGCCCAAGCCGAGGCCTGTTTTTCCTGAGTCAAGGCGTCGAATGGGGAGATACGTGATGTCTGGGGTAGTTGAGGCGGTGGAGTTTGAGATGCCGGATGTTCCGGGATGGTCTGTGGACCAGGAGCTGGGCCAGATAGTGATCCCGAGAACGATGCTGAATGCGCATGACTGGCCGCACGGGGTGATGAACGGGTTCCGAGACTAATGCCCCATGACGTACGCCGCTCTGGTTTGGCCTTGGACTGGGGTTGGACCGGTGGGGGGGAAGAGTCGCGCTGTGGGAGAACAAGCAATTAGAGATGATCACCACAAAATGCCACGTGGAGTCTTAAATGTCCGAGGGCACCACAGGGGTTACATGATCGTGCAAAAATGAAGAGTCGTAGCATTCCTTAATTCATACAGTCCCGTCATCCTGGTCAGAAAGGGAGACACATGGCTCATGAGCGAGTACCAGGGGGGAATAGAAGGAGAGAAGACAAACAGCAAATGGGAAGAGACGGGAACCGAGCCCCTTTAGACCATCCCGACGGCTAGAGGGGGAAAAAAAAAGGCATGCCCTGTGAATTGACGGCCCCAATTGAGAGGAATGTTAAAGAAATACCTTGTCCCCAGTGCCACGGAGTTTGTTCTTGCCCTTGCTCAATAAACCTTTACCCGCCTTACCCGCCGCCAGCAACAGTCCCTTGCCCTTTGCCCCGACTTGACCACTCGAATGCTTGAAATCGCTCCCAGGCGAATGGGACCCCATGGATACGCTGCCTGCGGGAGGACGACCCGACGATGTTGCTGTGGCTGCTACTGTGCTGACATTGGTCGAGCTAGCGTTGAGATACTGCTGATAGTAGGGCTGTTGAGAATTTGGCTGGGACGCTGTTGGTGATGTTGATGGTTGGCCAACGTTTGAAACGTTGGCCGCGAATGACGCCGTCGCATTGGCGTGCTCGGGATGCTGAGACTTGAGGTTGACGAGCCAATTGTTTAATCCCGAATCCATTGATGCAAATTGCGCTCTAGTCTCGTTGTACTTATTGATTCTCTCCGATGCGTTTTGAATCTCCATGATCTCCTTGAAGTTAATGATCTTAAGAGGTGCGGCTGGCTGGTCTTGCGACGGCTCGGCAGGCGGAGGCGATGTCGCTTCCGAAGATCGAGCCAGCGCCGGGTGTTCGCCCGGCGGTGGGCTGGGGGACACGGGATTGGACGAAACCCGAACCATTGACTTTTCTTCCGCGAGGGACAGGCGTCGGGGAGGGGCGGCCGAGGCGTGGTTCTTATCAGTCACGGCTGACACGGGCGACGGAGGCTCAATATTCTCTGAGTCCAGCCGCTCTCTCGGCACCGAGCTGACCTGCGACACTTGGTGTGACATCGTGCCTGAAGTTGTTGGCACTGCAATATGCGTCTCGTCCATAGTGCTGGTGGATGGCTGGGTTTGCTCAGCGTCCCTTGTCTCTTCAGACGACAATGCCGGAGACTGTTCGTGTCCAAGGGCAGGTGAGCTTGAGCTGACAGGCGCCACAGGGGCAGCTTGTGGCTGGGAGTCTGACACGGGTTTCTCTTGGGAATCACCCGGGCCCGGCGTGACTTGTTGCGATTCCGCTTCCCAGGAAAATCGTCGACCAAGTGTCGGAGGCGTTCCTGCATTCTCCTTGCGAGGGCTCAGAGGAGGCACATCGGAGACATTCTGTTTTGCGACAGAGTGAACATCCAGCTCTGGCTGCTTCGCCGTGAGCTCTGGTACATCAGGCTTATCATCGCCTGCAGTCCAATAATCATCATAGACACCGTGCAGGTATGTGCTCTCGCGAGGGCCGGTATCCTCCTCTGACTGTCCCGCTCGATTGCCGTTAAAGCTATCGAAGTCACTTGTAGGCCGGACTGGACTGAGGCTCCGCATGATTTCCTCCCGTAGCTTGTCGCTCTCTTTGACAGGGGACGGTGAAGTGACTGTGCTCATAGTAGATTCGCGTTGCAATTTCTCAGGTGCTACGAAGCGCGATGAAGAAGGATCCGAGTGCCCGGCATTCAACGGAGCCAGGGGATCAACGGGAGCGTCGGCCGAGTGGCTTTCCTCACTGGCTTGGCTTGAGGCAGGCATTGGTTGCCCCGATGCATTAGGGATGGGTATCGCCATCGACGCCACACCCTTCATAATTGTGACACCGCTGCCTGGGATTTCGTCTTGCTCGTTGTCGGAGACCGGGGAAACTTCGCCAGGATCAACGCCCAGGGTCTTCTTCTCTGCAACAGCAGGCGGCGTCTGCTCGTCAGTGACTGATCTAGTTTCAGTGACCCAGCCGCCAGGAAGAGAGGGCCGCGATGGCAGAGATGCCAGATCCGATTTGGCGGGATCTACGTTTTCTTGATTTCGAGGAACCTCTGCCGGCGGAGTTGAATCCTTTAGGATTTGCTCAGACACTCGAGGGGAGTCGGCTCGTTGGGGTGTTGAGCTCCCGGTCGATAATGCAACAGGAGCAGCCGGCGGATTTCCAACATGTTGTGGTGCTGACGCCGCCGCTGCTGCTTGAAGTTGTGGCGTCAACGCAGGCATTGGGGGTGCATCGTCGGCAAATTTACCGGGGTTAGAAAAGAAATCGTCCCCGAACAGAGACATGCGAGCCAGGTCTGGCAAACGCGGACTGGACGAGTAGCGGCGTTGTTGAGCAACTTCTTCCTCACTAGGACGTTCAATCTGAGGTTCAGGCGCGGGCGCTGGAATGCCCAGGTTGGGACTTTCAGAACTTGGGGGCATTGTCTGATTTTGGGCATGGTTTTGAGGTCGCATAAGCACGTTGTCGAAGCCGTATTCGCTCTTCCCCTCTGCAACAGGCGCTAGGGTCGGTCGCAGATTGCCTTGGATTGCATCTGCTCCTTCGGGCTTTCCCAAACTGCTGCCACCCACTTGTTCGCCACTTCCAGTGTCAGCAGGGGATGGCTTGGCGGGAGAAAGCGAGCGGTCGGTCTTGAAGCCGCCGCTGCTATCCAGACTGGGTCGTCCCGAGTCCATGGAACCTCGTTCCCTATCCTTCTCACTGTCGACGCGGCGATAGATATCCGAGGGTCGAACAAAAGACGGCTTCGAAGTCGAGGACGCGCCAGGCGATATGATATCGGAAGGAGATCCCGAGTGCTGCTCGACCTGTGGAGGATGAGTGGAGCTTGACCGAGAACTAGGAAGGCGATCACTGTCATGTTGGCCCATACTGCTCTTGCGAGGTGGGAATCGGGCGGATTGCGGTTGCGCCGGCGCTGGTGAAGTTCGTCGGCCGCCATTCGGAGGTATCACACTTTGCGATTGTTCGTTCCGAACGAGAGAGGGCTCCGGTGTTGGGCCAGTATGAGCAGATTGCGGCGACACGAACTGCTCATAAGGGCCCTTGTCAGAAACACTGTCCATGGAGGACGGCCCCGAAACAATCGGAGGTTGAACATTTTGCGGTTCGGAGCGCGCAGGCGCAGGCGCAGGCGCGGGTGATGACGGAGTCTGGATTTGCAAAGGCGGTAGGCCTGCCGTGGCCCGAGGGCTGGTGGACAATCCCGACTCGTTCAAGGCCGGCTCCGGCGGTCGCATCGTTGGCAGTCCCGCGGATTGAGGCGCAGGTGGCTGGTGTGACGGTAGGTTCGACGGTAGATTCGCAGTTGTTGCCTGGCTAGGACTCGGTTGACGAGAGGCAGGCTTGAGAGGTGGGACAGGAATCGGTTCTTCGGGCTCCTCGTCGTCAAAGTCGTTACCCCAGTCATCGCCGTCGTAGTTCTGTGCCTTGGCCTCAACCCATTTCTTAGTTTTCTTCCTGCCCAAATTGGTCTTGTATGCACTCGTCGGCGTCTCGGGGCTTCTGGAGGGTTACTGAGATTAGCACCTGCATCTATGCCTTGAGAAGTACATGGCTGGAGAGAACTTACAGAGGCGATTGTCCATGAGGAGGCCTGAAGCCATAGTTGTACGGGCCGCTCATCGCGTCGTCAAAGTAGTCGCGACAAGAGCGTCAATCGCCACATATCTCTGCCAAAAGCCTGTCTGGTGACGGTTGATCCGAGGCAGCGAGGCGACTCGGGAGTGAAAACCGTTAGGCGCACGGCTGCGATCGGTGGTTCACTCGATGGGGCACTGATCGGGTGAGACTGGGAATGGAGATGGTCTACAGCCTCGGATTGGGATGGCCGACGCTGATTTGATTGAATGACAGCAGGACAAGTTGACGAGCCTCGGGGCAGGCCAGCAAGAAGACGGCAGAGATCCGAGTCCAGACAAGACTGGACAGTCGCTTCACTACCTTGAATGGGTCGGGGCTCGGTGGATGTTGTTGGTGCAGTTCGCCAGTCTGACCGGCCGCAACTTTTGCTGGAGAAGTACGATTAGACCCAAGACGGATGATAACTTGGGGCTTGTTGGGGAGGTGGCTTGGAGCGGACCTTAGCTTATTACTCTCACCTTACCAGCCTACGATTATTCCCCGTCAAGCCATTGGGGAACGTAAGGCAGCGCAACGCAGCGCAGAGTGCGGACGCCGCCAGTTGGCCTCTCAGCTGGACTGGGCTGGGCTGGGCTGGGCTGGGCTGCATATTTTCGCAATCCGTATTGGCGTGGTGTACTTGTCATATCCCTGTGCCAGTATGACTCGATGTCACTCTGCAGCGAATCTGTAGTGGACGAATACTCGGGATGGAGCCGTTGGCCGTGCTCAAAAAGAGGGGATCAGCCTGGGTGTCTTTCCAATGGCAGTCCGAGGACGCCCCATCCACTTGCAACGCAGGCAGGCAGACGGCGGAATGCAACGCAGCGAAGAATCACGAGGGGTGAGCGAGGCATTGTGGCATGGCATTGCGGTGGTGCCTGTCCGCCCATCTGTGTGCGTGATCTGTGATGGGTGAGGGCGGAAGCGCGGCTATGCATGCTAAGGTATCTGCTCAGACTGGACGGCAAACGGGGGCGGACAGAGTCTACTCCCGTCCCGTCTGTACATAGTAGCTCACGGCGGGCTGGCATTGTATTTCCGTGGCATGGAATACCCATGGCACTCTAGTAAGCTATCAACACCATTTTTCACAGATAAGGTAGTAAGTAGCAGAAAAGGTGCGCAGCCGTTGCATACATTCATTTGCGAACTTGCATCTCAGCACGGTACCGCGATGCTGCCTGCTGTACACACTAAGCGGACTGCCTCATTTCACGCATCGTACGGCGTAAGCAAGTTGGTTCTACACCATTCACGATTGCTCTTGAATTCTCATCGTACCCAGCTGCATGGTGTCATGGATGGCGGTTCATCTCACAATGTGGATTACCTCGGTCCGTGCAGCCATTTTTAGATGTGGCGGTGCGTGCGTAATACTTGGAGAAAGTTTACCTATCAATTCGTCCCTACCTACCTAGTGTAGGATAGGTACCAAAGGAGGCGCTAAAAGGACGCCGAAGGCGAAGGTCCAACGCCAAACAATGGAACGCTGTAAGGTACGAGCCACACGTGCGCCGCGCGCTCTAATTGCGCTCTGCAGACCAGCCTCTGTTCCGAAACAAAAAACCACGTTGGCGGTTGGATCGGACACCCTGGCCCCGTCACTCCGACTGCAGCAGACTGACGCTCCGGACTCTGAATTTCCAAGTCTGACAGACGACAACTACGGCCAACCTGTATTCCGCACAACCTACGTCGAGATATCCGCTTAGACCAAGTCGCGACAACTGGCCTCGTCGCGCGTCTCGTGTTGCATCGCATCCCATCGCACCGTCTTGCCTCGTTTTCTTGTACAACTACCTGCCCAACAGCGCTGTCCGCCATTAGAGACTCACCCGCTGTGCCCGAACCGCCCTCGAATCGACCTGCCAATCTCCCACCCCTGAACTCCTATCCACCTCGGGCCCTGTATCGAGCATCGACACGGCAAAAATCTATCTTGCACAAAGATCTTCACCGATTCCGAAGCGCTGGTCGCCCCCGTCCGAACCCCTCCTTCTTGACCAAATAGAAGCTACGATGGCAGTCGCTTCGATACAGGACCGAACTTCCGAGTTCCAGTCGGTTCTCGCGCAAGCGCAGCGTCGCAAAGCCTCGAGCAAACTTGGTGCTCAGCAACGATCGCTTTTGACCGACTCCCAGAAGGCTGTCGCCGATGGCGACTCCAGGCCGAGGCGATCCGAGTTTGCGCGACAGGCGGCGCAAATCGGGAGGGGAATTTCTGCCACTATGGGCAAGCTTGAAAAGCTAGCAACGTGTACGCACCTATTTCCCTTGAATTCTCCGTTCAGATTTCGTACTAACTCTCACTATCGCAGTGGCGCGACGCAGGACGCTGTTCGATGACCGGCCGGTGGAGATCAACGAACTTACCTACATCATCAAGCAAGATCTGAGCTCCCTCAACCAGCAGATTGGCAACTTGCAGGTCCTCACCCGACAGCAGCACCCGAAGGCTGATCAGGAAGGAGAGCACAACAAGAACGTTGTTTTCATGCTTCAGGGCAAGCTGACAGACGTTTCCGCCAACTTCAAGGATGTTTTGGAAGAGAGAACGAAGAACATCCAGGCGTCCAGATCACGGACAGATAACGTGCGTTGATCCTTTGCCTCCAGTACGATTGACGCCGGATCTAACGAATGAATGCGTCTTTAGTTTATTTCGAGCGTTTCGCAGCATGCGCAGCCGCCGCTACAGCAATCGGCATCGCCCTTGTATGGCACGCCGCAACGAGGAACACCCTCACCTGGAGCCGACCTCCTTTCGCTGAACCCCCCAGGGGATCAGCAGCTGCTCCTGATGGAGGAGGCGCAACCGCAAAACACATATATCCAGGAGAGAGGCGCGGCTATTGAGAGTATTGAATCCACGATTGCCGAGCTTGGATCTGTAAGCCGGCACACCCCCATGGGGCGTCGTACAACCGAGCATCATAGACTAACCCTCTCGTGCAGATATTCGGACAACTGGCAACCATGGTGTCGGAGCAGAGCGAGATGATCCAGCGCATCGATGCCAACACGGAAGACGTGGTCGACAACGTTCAAGGGGCGCAACGAGGTAGGCGATAATGCCCACAGACTAATCCGTTTGTGCGGAATCTAACTCGAACTGTAGAGCTTCTCAAGTATTGGGGCCGTGTTTCAAGCAACAGGTGGTTGATTGCCGTATGTGACTCTGTCCGCTGGTCGGTTTCGTCGATCTTGCTGACATGGTGTCCAGAAAATGTTCGGCGTTCTCATGATCTTCTTTCTGTAAGCCATCGGCCTCGTTACGCCATAATTTGCAGATTAGCTGACCAATGAATAGGCTTTGGGTGCTCATTGCCGGCTGAGAGGCAATTATTGACGGCGGTTTGGGGAGTTAAGTTGAAAGAGCATTGGCTTCTGTAACACCACAGCGGATAGGGATACCGCTAATTGTACGATGACATTGATGTGGACATTGACATTGACCATGGGACGACGGCGCGGCGCAGCTATAGAGCTTCTTCCTTGCATATTAGATCTATTAATCACGAAAGAGGTTAACTTCGGCGAATAGTAAAAGCTGGCATCTGCGGTGTGTTAGCACCCCCTCTATGCGTTTGGGGTGCTCCATGCATTTATGTAGACGCCTTGGCCAGCCAAAGATTGCTGAATACATGTGGTTGGGATCATCGTCGGGGTGGGTTCCCGTCGAGGACAGGCTGCACCTCCAGATGAATGGCAGGGTACAGGTACAGAGTACATTTCACACTTGTTGGTTTGCTGGTTCATGGCATCCACACTGTGCTCAGGCAGCCGGTGCGAAGAGGCGTGGGCTCGGGGTTGGTCCCGGAATGTTTTCCCGCACTAGGTGGAGGGCCTCAAGCGGAAGCCAGCACCTACCGCAGAGAGGCAGCAAAAAAAAAAAAAAAAAAAAAAAAAAAAAAAAAAAAAAAAAAGGCAACTATCAACGAGACCCGCCGGAAATCGGCCGCCGCCCCGCGGGCTTAACAACCACCTCACGGACCACGACATCGCCCACAGTGTCACAGTTGCACAGTCAGTTGCACTCACCAGGTGAGGTATGTACTGCATAGTAAAACCAAGCCAAATAGCGGGTCCTGTCTTCATGACTCGGCCCAAAACTGCCCGAGGCATACCCTCGTTGACTAACGAATTATCCATGAATGGAACTCCCATGGCCCACTGGAGACGAGGGGAACAGCACAAAGTTGGACAAACCGGGGAAGTCCACACCCCAGATACAGCTGCCAGAGTAGCTAGACCCGGTGGCCGTAGCATCCTAGCCCGAGTGTGACATGCAAATCGCGGCCCCTTCACGGGCACCTTGGCTGCGAGGAGATGATGCAGAGGGAGGGGCGTGTGGTGAGAGATAGCTCTCCTGTTTATCGAGTATTTACCCGGCTGTGGTCAAGCACCGCGACGCAGAACCCTGATTACATTTATTTCCATTTCGGGTTGCAGACGATATATATACCGAGAGTCCACGCCTTTTCCCGGGCTGTGTGAGTGACGTCTTAAACCCCTCCTCCTCCCATTGACTCTGCTCCTCTCCCGCACTAGAAATACCATACACAAACTACCCCGCCCCCGCCTTTCGAACCACGATCATTTTGGTTAACCTCGATACCCATCGGCCTTCCGAACGCTCACCATGGCTGCGCAGACGTTCAAGCTCAACTCGGGACACGAGATCCCCGCCGTCGCTCTGGGTAAGACATGCAAACCTCTTCGTCCTCCTACTCAATGGCTGATGTAGACCCCTCAAGGCACATGGCAATCTGCTCCCGGTGAGGTCAAGGAGGCCGTCTCATACTCTCTTAAGATCGGCTACAAGGCTATCGATGGTGCCTACTGCTACGCCAACGAGGACGAGGTTGGCCAGGGCCTCAAGGAGGCTTTTGCCAATGGCGTCAAACGTGAGGACATCTACGTTGTCACCAAGCTGTGGGCCACCTACACCACCAGCGACGAGAGAGTTAAGCTTGGCCTTGAGAAGAGCTTGAAGAGCCTGGGTCTCGACTACGTTGACCTCTTCCTTGTTGTAGGTTGCCGCCACCTGTATAATGCCTTGGTTGCGTTGAAACTGACAGGATGCGCAGCATTGGCCCGTTGCCATGAACCCCGAGGGTATGTTCGTTTTCTCAGCCTCGTCGACGAATCGTTGACGAAGTTTCCGGAGCTATTGACCAACTAACATGAGCGCCTCACAGGAAACCACGACAGGTTCCCCACCAAGCCCGATGGCAGCCGTGACATCCTCCGCGACTTCTCCCACGTCGACACCTGGAAGTCCATGGAGAAGCTCCTTGATACCGGCAAGGTTCGCTCCATTGGTGTCTGCAACGTGAGTTTGTTTGCCCACGGCCTGACAAGAGGCCCATGGTTCAATGTACTGACAAACCATACAGTACAGCGTGAGATACCTCGAGGAACTTCTCCCCCATGCCAAGGTCGTCCCTGCCGTCAATCAGATCGAGAACCACCCCAGCCTTCCCCAGCAGGAGATCGTCGACTTTTGCAAGGACAAGGGCATCCACATCATGGCTTACAGCCCGCTCGGCTCTACCGGCGGGCCTCTTATGAGCGCGGCTCCCGTTGTGAAGATTGCCGAGAAGCGCGGCGTCAGCGCCTCCACAGTTCTCCTCAGCTACCACGGTATGCCCACGAGTCCAGCTCCCGCTTTTAATCCAGTCTGCTAATATTTCTGTTCTGTTTAGTCGCCCGTGGCAGCACTGTTATCGCCAAATCCGTCACCCCCGCCCGTATCAAGGCCAACCTCGAAATTGTCAAGCTCGACGACGAGGACATGAAGGAGCTTCGCGCCTACTCGGATGATCTTACGGCCAAGAAGGAGTTGAAGCGTTACGTCTACCCGCCATTTGGCATTGACTTTGGATTCCCCGACAAGTCTTAGGATAATGCCCACAGTTTGCATATGAAATAAATGAATAGAATAATTGAGAGCGCAAACTGGAACAATAAACACACAGAGACTGTGACGTCGAAAGTTCTAAGAAATTGCGCGCGCAGAAATTCGCGATGGCGTCAAGTCACAGTCTGGGTTACCACATGATACCAAGCGAGACCGCCTATTTTTCTTGAGCTAGGACTTCTTTTTCTGTAGTAATACACTCTACCTTACCATCGCGCTGTCGTCGTTGGTATTATTTTACTACTTCTACTTCCGTCTTCAATAGTGATAATTTAGTACGCACGAAATGTAGCCGCACAAATATGGGAAAATTTCGCGGTCTCTACCAAGCCATCAGCATAGACCTCTGTTACGGCAATCACTTTCCCACAGGCAATGGTGATTGCTTAACTTGTGTGATTAATGAGGTTATTCACTCGCCCTTGTGAATGCTATCAAGTGCAATACGCAAATCCAAAACTATACTTTTATTTCAGTCTCTAATTAGATGTATCCACAAGAACCTTCAATACCAAGTTGCCGCTTTCATCCTTCACCTTGGCCGCCATGTCAAACGCATCATTGATGGTGCCCAGTCCCTTATAACGGTGTGTAAACAGCTTCTCCAACGCCGGCAGACCCTTTGGCTTCGTCGCAATCAGGTTGATGGCCTTGGGGTATGTGTTGGCGTAGCGGAAGACGCCCACAAAGTCAACCTCACGCAGAGCGGCGGCGGAAATGGGAAGAGTCTGGATTGGGGTGCCCATGCCGATAATGAGGATCTTTCCACCGGGACGAGTGGCCTGCATACATGGGTTAGCGCTGAAAAGCTGTGTGACCTAGACTGAGGATGCTCACATAGATGGATGTTTGCATGCAGGTCTCGACACCCGTGCACTCGTAAGTCGCGTTGACTTCGCCAACCTCGTTTCCGTTGATCTTGGCGGCCTTTACCAACCCTGCGACGTCCTGGGCGTAGGCCAGCTTGTCCTCGATCGTTTGAGGGCGCTTGGCCGGAACGACAATGCCAGCATCGGCGAAGCCGTTGTCAAGGGCAAACTTGACGCGGTCCTCTTGGATATCGGCAATAACGACCTTCTGCTGATCAGCCTTGCTGACGGCGGCACACAATAGACCAACAGCACCGGCGCCGAAGACAAGGACGGTCGACCCGCTAGGGAGGTTGCCTCGGTCCCGGGCGTGCATGGCAACAGAGAGAGGTTCGGCAAGAGCACCGAACTCGAGGGAAACTTCTTGCGGGAGCCTGCGCCGTCTCGTGTTAGCATGTAGCCCTCTAGACCTTTCAATGTCACGGGTTTTATATCTTACTTATGGCACCACTTGGCAGGGTGGTTGACGAGCTCCTGAAGAGTTCCCTGAGCGTGAGGGAAGGCCTTGGCAGAGCTGCGGAACTTCATGCCCTTGCAGATGTTGTATCGCCCAACGGCACACAGGTCACAGGCCTCACATGGCTGGCCGACCTCGAGCGCAACGTGATCTCCGACGGCAAGATTTGTGACATCAGAGGCGACAGCAGTAACGATACCGCTAGATTCGTGGCCAAGAGTAAGGGGCTCCTTGACGAGAATGTCGCCGTTGCGGAAGTGGTTGTAGTAGTGCAAGTCGGAACCGCAGAGTCCCGTAGCCTTGACAGCGACTTGGACCTCGCCAGCTGCAAGAGCAGGCAGAGCTCTTTCTTCCTGCGCCAATTAGCCTTCAGAATGTCGATTGTCAGCTGAGACGGGGATGTCTGACAATCTTGAGATCCCTCGCGCCGTGGAGCACGGAGGTCTGGACTTGAACGCTGGACATGATGATTGCGCCCTTATGCGATGGCGGCGAGGATAGTAACTAGATTGAAGATGGATACGTGAAGTGGAGGCAACCAGGCTTGGAAAGACGACAGAAAGAAACAGCAGTAGCAGCACGTTGGAAAGGCACAGAAGTGAGAGGGTAGTGGGGGCAATTATCTGATTGTTTTGTTGAAAAGCCGAGGCGATGAGGGACTCAGGGAGCACGGCGACAGGTCCGATGTCGACGGATCGGATAACACGATTGAAAAGAAGGGCACGACGCTAGGGGGCGATTGGAGGCGGACGCGACGAGCGGAGCGATGCAGGTCGGAAATGCGGGTTCGTGTCGAGAAGCTGAGGAGGCAATTCACTTGTCAGTGGGGGAGCAAGGCCGAGGGTTACGGGATTCCAAGGCCGAGTTGTGTCTGAAGCTCGAGTACAAGAACTGCCGCCGAATCGCTCCCCAACTTCTCAGACACAGCGTCGACCACGACACTACACTAGCCCCTCGGACGTGGGGAGTACGGCGACAGGCACAAGTACTGGGTACGAGTGGGCAACGAGTGTTGGGGAGAGCAGAGACGCAGACACACCGCAGTCATAAACCCAGTTTGTGTGGAGTGGTGGAGACGTGGAACTTGGTCAAGGCCAGTGGAACACTGGGCTAGGTAGGTGTGGTCATTGGCTCGGCATTCTGTCCGGCAGCGAAGACGAGGAAGCCATCGCGAATACCTGACCTTGCCTTACTTTGCAGTAAGTAGGTACCTATGTGCTGGGAGTCGGGACCTAGTGGAGGGGAAGAAGAGGGGGAGGGGTAAGTGCTCGTGGAGAACTGACCCCCATCCATTCCAGGCAATGCCCGCCGAAACATGAGGGTCTACGGATACTGCGTACCCTCAGGTAGCGGCGTTCGAGGCGACGCTTGAGCTGGAGAAAATGGCCGCGAAGACCCAAGAGGGCAATTATGTCCTAAAGCTTTGCGCCAGGTCAGTGTACATGCCTTCCATGTTGCGTTCCATTGCCTGCTTCAGGGCAGCCCAGAGCTCGTCGCGTCTTGGATTGATGCTGACAAGAATTAGACCGCCGGTGATTCGCACAAGACTCGGCTTCTGTTGGCTTTGCTGGCAGCTGAAAAGATTGTAACGGACCATGACCGACAGTTGCCGTTGACGGTTTCTTGTGTTTCCCCCGCTCTGAAGCTCCGATATGCGGGGAGCAGACCGGGCAGCCCGTCACATCCTTACGTGGGGGGCCGGAGAGCCATGCACCTGCCCTGGGGAAAAGAAAAACAATTCCCATCTAACCAGAGCCGAGTCAATCGAGCCGAGTCAATCGAGCCGAGTCAATCGAGCCGTGTGATGGTGTTCGCGGGGCTTCGCACAATCTTTGGTATCAGGAGCAACCCAGCTCTGACAATTACCCCGACTCGTTCACTATGCCGCGTGCTCATGAGACATTCCCACAGTAAACAAATGTCGACGACAAGAAAAACTGCAAGCGCATTGCCCAAACCAAACGACGTCACAGGGCGACGTGGTTGGAGACGACCCCTGCTGTCGCGGATCCCCGCAGCTGAGGGGTAACGACTGTTGTAGTCTTGACTTCAACGTTTGCTGTTGCAAGCTGCTCATGTACAGTGTACATGTTTCATGCCGTGCGGTTGAATCATGACCCATTCCGCGGGTTATGACCATCTCTAGCCGTCTCAGCCATTCACCGAGCTAATCCGTCGCCTTCAGCTCCTTCTAGAAATAAACGTCGCTTGAATCCGTTAACCACCCCGGCACACGGCGAGTAACCTTTCTTCCGTCCAAGCATGGCCCGTGAGGGGCACCTCGCGGCCATCGTCACAAGCTCATCCAAGCTTCCACTGTGAATACCCATCAGTTACTGTCTGAATTAACTTGCCCGAAGACCATTGACCCTGCTGCCTACCTACACGACGCCGCTCCTTCGTCCAATAAAGTCGCATTCATCTTCTTCATCCCCCCACCCCAAGATAGCTGAGTGTGCTGCGTAAAGCCTCTCATCACTCAAATACCCCTCGTTGGACACGCTCTCAGCACAATCCCCCCCCCCCCCTTTCCCACCCAAGATTTTCGTGATATCCGCAGAACGCCTACACCGTAATCTACACCATGGCCTCGCCATTCTTCTCCCTTGAGGACCACACCGCCCTCGTCACTGGAGGCACTCGGGGCATTGGTGCCGCCGTCGCCATTGGTCTCGCCGAGGCCGGAGCAGACGTTCTTCTCGTTCAGCGCGACGAGTCTAACACCTCCACCAGAGACTCAATTCTGAAGCTAGGCCGAAAGGCTCAGATCTACACGGCAGATCTCAGCTCACAACAGAGCGTTGCTGCTCTCGTACCCAAAGTTCTCAAGGACGGCCACCAGATTCGAATCCTCGTCAACTGCGCCGGCATCCAGAAGCGCCATCCGTGCGAGAAGTTTCCTGATGATGATTTCAATGCCGTAAGTCAATTGAGCGAAGCAATCGCCTCGGTGCATGTCTGGAAGCTAATGGAGTCCGCCAACGCAGGTTATCCAAGTAAACCTCAACTCCGTTTTTACCCTGACCCGCGACGTCGGCGCCCACATGCTCACTCTCGAGCCTTCACCCGTTACCGGCCGCAAAGGCAGTGTAATCAACTACGCCTCCCTGCTTTCTTTCCAGGGCGGCTTCACTGTCCCGGCTTACGCCGCCTCCAAGGGCGCTGTTGCCCAGCTGACCAAGAGCTTCGCCAACGAGTGGACCTCCAAGGGTATCACAGTCAATGCCATCGCGCCCGGTTACATCGAGACCGAGATGAACACGGCCCTGCTCAATGACAAGGAGAGACTGGCCAGCATCAGTGCGAGAATCCCCGCTGGTCGCTGGGGCACGCCTGATGACTTCAAGGGCACTTCAGTCTACCTTTCCAGCAGGGCCAGCGGTTACGTGAGCGGCCACGTCTTGGTCGTTGACGGTGGCTGGATGGGCCGATAAGCATGCGGCCACTGCACGAAAACAAAGCTTTAATTAAAGGTGGTTGAAGAAATGGAAAGAAGGAAAAACATCCAGAAAACACTCCGTTCACTTTCGCTTATGATCACCATTCTCGCTGACGACAAGTTTCTGGTGTGCCCGCATAAAATTGAGTGTTCTTGTTGCAGCCAGCGGTGCAGTAGCCGTAATTACATCTTGCTGTTCATGACGCTCTCCATCCAAGGATACACGGATGCATTGGCCATGGGGTATCCCATGTGCAAGGCTCCCGAGAAGAACCTGGCCTCCTTAGGCGTACCGTACTCAAATAGCATCATCGAGTCTTCAATAGGCATCAAGCCGTCAAGTGTACCCTGATTTTGTTAGTCAAAGAGATCTCTCCGGCAAGGTGTGTGGACGTACATTGATCAACAACAAACGGGTGGACGGCTTATCGATAATCCCGGTCTCGAGCAAAGAGAACTTCTTTTGCACACCCGCCTTGTATTCAGCAACCGTCTTGTAGCCATGTTTCATGGCCATCGCCGGAGTTAACCTATGCCTCGTCAGTCTCAACATTCGCAATGTTTGATACGTCTGTCCACTCACAAGAACGGGTATTCGTGTCCGTCAGCCTTCTCCAACCATTCCTGGTCGAAGAAATAATGGCAACCGGCCCCTTGCGCAATCGATCCGATCAGGCGGTCCTTGTGAGTGTGCGCGATGCGAATGGCGTAGTACCCGCCGGAGCTAAGGCCCCAAACCAGGACCCTGTCCATGTTGAAGCGGCCATCGGCAGCCATCCAGTCTAGGACGCTGCTCCACAAACGGTCAGGACTCTCCGGATCGGCGGAGTCTGCGGGGCAGTCGGCGGTTCCGGGGATCTCGACAATCACGCTTCCCCAGCCGCGCGCGAGGAATTCATTTGAGCGAACCGTGTTGTCAGGACGGTAGCCGTCAAGACCAGTCATCAGAATGACGACTGGGCTAGGATTGCTCTTGGAGGCGCCGTGAGGAACTCTGACGTAGGACGGAATGGACTTTCGGTCACCACCCTTGGCATGCTTGTGCGGAATGGAGATGTCAATGATGGGGCAATCCCATGACTGGGCCGCCTTCATGTAAACCTCTTTCTGAGCCTCCCACGCCTTCCACTTGACTGGGCAGCTGACTTCAGGGTACGCCGTGATGTATGGGAACCGCGCTATGCGGTACACGGTGCATGCTCGGAGGTACAGATCGCTGGCTTCGTCTTTCTTGCCTGCAGCCGCCGCCCCGTCGCCTTTGGCTGTCAGAGCCTCTGCGATCGGAAAGAAGGCCTCAGTGTATGCAGTAGAAGTTCCGTCATTGATGTTTTCCTAAAATCTCCGTCACAATTTGAAGGTCACGATATCTAGTAAACATACCTTGATCAAGTGCTCGAAAATGGGCTCAAAGTCCTCATACTGCCCGTCATGGAAAGGGTAGACGCTCTTGGTGCACTATGATGGTCAACGGAAAATTTGTGACGATTTGCCACGGGAGCGTACCGGAAACTTCCATTTGGTTTCCCAGAGAGCCTTAATTCCCTGGTGGTGAGGCATCTTGCGCTCGAAGGCTTCAGTGCCCATCACCCATTGCCGCTTACCATCCATCTCAGGAAGCTTGTGCGGCGACATGGTGGATTAATTTCAAGATATTACGCGGACGGTTCTTTGCTTCGTGAAAAGTGGTGGTCGACCCTTGACGATGAAGATGGGTTTCACTTTGTTGCTTCTTCGACGTACGACCTCGCGACTGGCCGATTTATTAATGACCCTATAATTCGTGAGTTACAACATCAGTGGGCCGGCCGTGCCTGTCAGTAGCCGGGGTCGATTGCCGGCGTTGGATATACAGAAGACTTACTCTGACTGTAGTGAAGCAATTCGCACGCGAGCAATGGCACAATGCAAGTCTTCAATCATGACGGAAACCAGACCAGAAAGACGGGCGCAAAGAGCTAATTTAAGTAGGAAAACGTTCGATCCGCAGTCGCCTTTTCGGGATCCAATGAAAACGCGCTCGGAGTTT